ATTAGGTTGACAGTAACTTGGTGGCTGCGCCCACTCGATGAGCACCAAGAAGGGCGAAACCGGTCGCGGGCCGACGAAGAGTTTTCAGCAACTTGCGAGTAGTTTACTCGATGAAATTAGCAAGTGATTTCGCATAATCGACGTGTTTCTTTGCGACCAAACACAAGTCTGCGGTCACAACCGTCCCGCTAATGCGCGCAATCCAACGGAAACTTCCACATCCTCAATATAAAAGAACCCTAGCCATTCCTCATCCAATATTCACCTTTATCTTGCATCCCCGTATTGGATAATTTATGGCAACGATATGTCACAAGCTCATAATTAAGACCTGTAAAATTCCGGAAATTGAGGCATCCGACGGCGATAAAACCCCAATCCTCCAGCAATTTAACTGGCTCTACAGCAGACCCAGCAGTTGCAACTTGTTTTGGCGAACTAACAAATTCTCATCTTATCGATTGGGTGGATATTTTGAACCTATTGAACATTGAATTCAACCGCGCTCAAAAAATTAACGAGCGTAATTTCCATTGAAATGTGCTGCTTAATATATTGTCGGCCCAGACCCACGGATTGCGCTGACCGTTTCTCAAATTCCGTCTCCATGTTTCCACAAAGCAATGGATTTTCCAGGTTCATTGATGTGGTTTTGAATCACTGAGATTGAAAGCAGTTATTCAATTTACCGGACCTCTGCAAAACATTAGTAAAGTGGGAACTCAGATGATTTGACCATGTTTTGTCCACTCGTGTCAAGAAAAACGTAAGACTGCGTGCGAAGCTGTATTTGTATTGGCGTGAAAAACGTAAGAATGTGAGTACCATGCGAAAGTGATTAGCAGACTCTTGGCTTGAATCCTACTTTCTTCTGTTGATCAAATATAGTTATAAAGTGTTCCATGAAGGCCATTCCGAGCGTCATGCGATCAGTTCTTATGTCTGGATCTGGGACGATTGAGCTGAAACAGCGTATCTCTTCTTGCACCAAGTCCTAATGGGAGCAATTGAAGTGTTCGTGAACCTTGTGTTTGGTTTTGCACCTGGTAACAACAGGTGTGGGTAAGGCTTAAATTAAGGCTACTCAATTACCAACAAGCCCGGCCATCCAGTCCAATAAATCAGTGGTCACATTCCGTGATCAGTTGTTTGTAAAATGAGGAGTCACTGCCAGGTTTAGAGGAAAATAAGGCACCTTGTACAATAATAATAATAATGCAATAATAATAACACCATAGTAAAACACCAAACTGGCCGTGAATGGGCCACAAACCTTGAGTTTGATCCGTCCGGTTGCTTCGCAATCACAATGTGCGCTAGTCCCTCAAAAGTTTCCACTTTTTGAATGTACAAGCTTGGGTGAAGATCCAACTGTACACTATCAAAAGCGATTCGGAGGGTTGGCATTTGGTCCACCCGGTTGCAGTCGATGACGTACAAATATTCCCATTTTTGCGCTCCCAATACCGTGTTGATTTTTTTCTGCACCACTCACACTGTGCTTGTTTAGCCAGACAGTGGAATCCAGCGTTGCAATAAACGGTTTGTCGAAAACCTGCTCTGCTGGCGTTCCGAGACTAAAAGTGAGAGACAAGTTTATGATGAATGAATTGGCGTCATGTTTCGTTGCTCTGATCAGGCCATTATGCACTGGTACATTACTTACCTTTGTATACGTAGTTTCCAATAACTGCGACCAGATTCTAAGGACACCAGCTGGAACTCTGCTGGGTTGACGGTCCCATGTGACCCAAACACAAGGCGAGCGTCAGGTTGTAAATCGTTCCGATGATCAGCACTCAAAACGAATATAAATCAGTGAATTTATCACATAACGAATATTAGAGATGGATAACTGGCAACAAGTCTTTATCATCAGACCTGTCCCAAGAGTCGGGTAACATACCATACGCAAAACAGAGTAAACCCCTTGTAATCTATCATCTGGTTCGCTGACATGACATGCTGAAATCGTCCATCGTCCTTTCAACATCTTGGTGCCCCAAACCCAGATGATCATCTCCGAGATTGGGCACCTTTGTTCGTTTATGGTAAACAGACTCAATAAATTAAAATGAAACAAACCTGAAAGTGGTCTTTTACCCCTACGGTCGACATTTGTTTTATGCTTAAAAAACTCAAAACTGTTTCGTCTGTTGATGATTCTCGCCGATTGAATTTTCTTTTCGTAATCCAATCAACAAGGTGTGTGCTGGTTGTGCTGACATCCAGAGTTGTGTCGACAGCGACGCAAACGTTTTGTGCAGGTGTGCCAAGTGATATATGGGCGACCAGACCACTCTGCAAAATTTAGTGATGGAACGTCACACAGATGTACCCGATCTCTCATAGACAGATACGCATAGACAATCTATCGCTTGTCACGAAATCGCCCCTTGTTACGGTAGTAGAGATCCAGTCTGTTGTGGGATTGTTACGGAAAACTAACACTTCTATTGAACTTACTCGAATGCTTGCATGGTCAGAGCCAACAAAGCCACTGAAACCAACGTTGCCTCTCTCATTAGACTGGCTTGTAACTCTCATTGGTGTATAACTGCAAGTTCTTTGGTTTTGTGCTCAAGGGTACTCCGGGTAGGAACCAATCTCGTGGACGTTTGGACACCAATCAGAATTGACCAATGATTTACTTCGTGTTTACTTGGCTGTATCTCATCCAATCGGTTCTACGCATCGTTGCTGTCATTTGATTGGGTGGAACTTTCCACTGTCAGTGTGACTTAACCAGCGAAATACTCTCATTTTCAAACTAATTTTTTTTTGCGGTAGTCCCACCCGCTGAATTTCTGGCTCGTGGTTTTTCTGACCACCTGAGTAGTGCGCACCGGACCGCCTCGGGGTTCAGTTTGTAGGATATCTGACAAACGGTAACATCAAAAATCTATTCTCTCCTCGGATAACATAAGTGAAAAAGTGACATTTTGGAGAGGTGTCAGGGCCGTGGGAATGTACGAGGTAAGAAGAAGAAAGGTTTTCGCGTCTCACAACACATGAAGCATAAAATGTATACAAATACAACTAGATATCCGTCACGCCATCGATATTGCACTCGGATTTATTTCAATACCGCCACACTTGCTTGTCCTACATAAATCTTGTGAACCGAGAACACTAAGGATAATCCATTATTAGCCGCAGTGACCCAATGTTTTCAGCTGAATGTCAGTCCACGCGTGTATTTTTATTCTTAACTCAAGACGGTTTGCCCTCTGATGGCAGCTACAACGAAGTTCGGGAAACTATCGAACCCTAAGATCGCACCGAATTATTTGGTCCGCATCTTGCTGAAATCGCACGTCAAGACGGTTTGCCCTCTGATGGCAGATACAACGGAGTTCGGGAAACTACCGAACCCTAAGATCGCAAAGAGTTATTTGGTCCGCATCTTGCTGAAATCGCCATCGTCGTCATCAGTGACCGCAATGCACCAGCAATGTGTATTGCCGCTCAACTGCCGCAAGGAAGGTGCTTGCATCCGTACAGTTTACGGTTGTATGAAGGCTGAGATACCATCAGGGGACCAATATCGTTTGACCAAACTGTTCTGTCTGTACCTGTTTGAACTTGACTTGGTGTGCAAGTCTATATATATGCATAGGGAACTCAAATGTGTGGTTTCTACTTGACTTCCTTGTATTGGATCCCGTTGTCCAGTTCACCGTTGCACAGATTTGATTACCATGTCACTGAGAACACGTTTCTGTACGATCATCTGCGACGCTTCCGAGAATGCGCAAACTCTTCTAAAGCGTTTCATTCAAAGGAGTCATTATTCTGATAGAGTCCCTCGGAGAATGAGTGCCAAAGTCATTGTCAAAAGTCACTGTTAATATCAACTTTATTCGACATATTCAGCAGGGCATGCGTAGACAAAAATTTCAAAACAATATCTGATGACAGTTATTTTAGTTTGAATAACCGACTGCTCCTTCCTCCGTGTCCGCTGCGGCATTTTCTGCAAACAAGAATTAATTAGTACAAACTTTTGCTTGGCTTTTCAACTGATATCCTTCAGAACTATCAGCGATTTAATGAGATAATGTGAGTCTCACTCGATAGGCGAACAACAAGCGAGTTGAAGGCCTTAATGTGCGGAGTGGGTTCGACCCCTAATCAGAAGGATGATAAACTGAGCCAGCAAGTACCCCACTTCGTTATCGTAGGCACAGAGTTAATGGTTGATCAACATAGCTTAAATTAAAGCAGGCCATGATATGGCAACACGAGACCAAAGCGATTACGGTCAAATTGAGAGCTCTTGGATCATGGTGTCTTTCCGGCCTTGGCCAACATGATCCTCCTTGAGTGTGACTTGAAATCAGGCAGGGAGCGGCATATCAATTCAAGCGTCGGTGTGCTATAGAATTGTGGTAACTGAGCTTCTAAATGAGCGGTCACTGACGCGCCCTACTTCGATTTTAACGCTCAGATGTGTTTATTTCAGTGATATCGCATATTGCACACTATCCATAAGGCCACCTGATCTCAGTGCACCAAGACCCCACATTTTACCATGGGGGTAAAATCCCCAATCATGATTTTCTGGCACATAGGTGATAGTATAACATACTGGTGTTTTGCAGTCAGTGAAGAGCAAAAGAACCGTGAAACCGTCGGTTGTCGACATCCGGTCGACGGTGCGACTTCAGCTGACAATATCTCACGAGCACGTTAGCCACATCAGAAACACCTGTTCTTGAGACCTGTGGAAACGGACTTGTTTGGATGAAACTAATGAAGAGTATAGGGAGGCTGGGTCGGTTTCACTGGTTTTCCGTCGCCGCCCAGAGACTATGAACGGTATGTGGTAACGATAGAGTGAAGAAATGGCTTGGTAACTGAGCTTCTAAATGAGCGGTCACTGACGCGCCCTACTTCGATTTGACGCTCAGATGTGTTTATTTCAGTGCTATCGCAGATTGCACATTATCCATAAGGCCACCTGATCTCAGTGCACCAAGACCCCACATTTTACCATGGGGGTAAAATCCCCAATCATGATTTTCTGGCACATAGGTGATAGTATAACATACTGGTGTTTTGTCGTCAGTGAAGAGCAAAAGAACCGTGAAACCGTCGGTTGTCGACATCCGGTCGACGGTGCGACTTCAGCTGACAATATCTCACGAGCACGTTAGCCACATCAGAAGCACCTGTTCTTGAGACCTGTGGAAACGGACTTGTTTGGATGAAACTAATGAAGAGTATAGGGAGGCTGGGTCGGTTTTACTGGCTTTTCGTCGCCGCCCAGAGACTATGAACGGTATGTGGTAACGATAGAGTGAAGAAATGGCTTGCTTGTTATTGCATTCACCAGCCGAATTCCAAAGGCAACTTGAAGTCCAGTTGACCTTTCGGAAGGCGTACACTCCGCCAATGCTTTATGATGGGAATTACCACAATGCTTATGGTCGTATGTCTTTGTCTGATACGGTCAGAGGGCACTTTCTAATTCTGACTCAGAGTCACCCCCTTATAATGAGTGCTTCTACATAACAGGCTGGATTCTGTTTAAAATTATCTCGTATTCAAACTTGAGACGTTCTACACCCTACAGTGACGCTGTTGTCTTACAAAGCAGTATTTCCAACCGTAGACCCCAGCAACAATCCTACTCTGTTCTTCAACAAAGGAGTTGAGAGAAGACCGCGGGCCCAGGGGTCCATGGCGCTATGATATGGACGAGCAAGTAGTACTTTAGTGCTGCCGGATTAAAGTGCCCGGTGTACACCCAATTACAGGACGAGATTCGACACACGCACGCCAGCTCACAACACTTCGTGGAAGACCCCGTGCCTACCATGCATTGATGGGGAAATACATTAATGAACCTTAGGAGACAAAGACACACTTGTAGAATTAATTAAAAGCTAGCCAAAATAGCTTTGACTAGCTTTGAACCGAAAAAAAACTCGCAGGAACGTGCCCAGTCTACCGGGAGGAAGTTCACAGTAAGACTGCACTTCCGGGTTAACTGAAGCGAGTGCAGCACCAAAGTGTCATTCTGCCTACTGCAATTGAATAAAATCCTGAAAATGCAGCCCTCCGCTGTGCTGCGTTTTCAGTAACCGACTGGTTCGGGGTGACCTTGAAATATAGGCCATTTTCTGGTTGACTTTGAAAGCACATTGCGAATCCACAATGCAGTCGTCTTTGTGAACACGTTCCTCCAAAAACTTTCGGGGTCAGAGTGACACAACTATGCATGCTTCCATCAATGAATTGAGGAGTAAACAAGAATCCACGGCTGAAAAAACGTCGTCAAAACTAAGGTGAATGTCTTCGAGAAATACACTTAATTGCAAATCAATTCGGTTTACACGAGAGACTCAACTGAATCTCTCGTTTATGATATTCGAAGGTGAATATATTTTGCCATTTTCCAAGAGTGCTGCTTACATAGTAATTGGTTGGTACTTGCTACCATGGCCCATGTCCCCACCAGTCAGGTAGCAATATAGACAAGTCGAGAAGAAATCGTCACACATAATCCTTCGCTAACAAGAGAGGTGATCAAATTTTTAACGATTGTGTGAACTTTTCTCTGTTGGCGATTTGTTGGAAAAGTGCACCCAGTGGCAACCATTTTTAGGTTTTGAACGGACTAATCTCTGAGGCACCACCGATACTGTGCTTACATTGAATTGCTGAGAAGCATCGTCTTTTTAAATGGTTTCTACCCAGGGCTCTGATGCCCAGAAATTTTTTGACAGTAAATAATATTACGCGTACAAAAAATAAACCCAAACTTTGTTTGAAAATATAAGCTTTTGATTGTGTAAAAATACTAAAACAATCATGTCTTACCGAGAACTTGTTCTTGAAACATTGGAGAATACCAAAGCAAATTAGTTAAACGTTTTAGTTCAAAGCGAAAGAAAAACATTTTCCGGCCTTAAATGGGTGGGTAATTTTGCGTCGAACTAAAAGGCGCCAGAGAAACAGAATTGGAGAATACCAAGGCGAATTAGTTAAACGTTTTAGTTTAAAGCGAAAGAAAAACATTTTCCGGCTTTAAATAAGTGGGTAAGCGTCGAACTAAAAGGCGCCAGAGAAACAGGACACTCCAGGGTCGGAATTGGTTTTGTGTTACCTTC